TTGAGGAGAGAAAACAACAGCATCACCATTTATATGATCAAGTTAAAAGCTCAAACCTTTTTCATTTTATAAGAGTAATATAAAATTATACTAAAAACTCAAAACAATGAGAGAGGTGCATCTAGTCAAAATGAAAGACCCTCTTGCCAGCCCCTGGATTCCATTTCTCAGGGGTGACCAGGAATTCATTGTTTGCCATTCAGATGAGTTCTTCCAACTTTTTAGTAGTGTAGACAGCTACACGTCCAGACAGGTGGGCGCAACTTTGAGATTATCTCAAGTATTTTACAGACAGACAATTTCAGTGATCCTGGTGCCTCTACATGCTGAATGACTTCAGCACTCTGCACCAGGAATGAGAAAGATAGGCAACACAAAAGATGAAAGAAAGCAATGAGAAGAGGGTGAGATGGAGGATGGAAAGGCATGAAAGTAGGACAGGTCAAAGAAAGGACAGGAAAAAAAAGATCCTGCTTATCCAGATGCTATGAACAAGGACCATAAAAATCCAGCAACAGAAACATTCACATTGCTCTCCCACCTCTGATGATCCTGGAAATTGTAGTGAGTGTGGGGGTTTTAAAACAAATGCCCATTTGCTTGCACTGTTTTTTTGCTTTTACTTATGTTTTTGTTTTGAGGCAGGGTCTCACTATGTAGTCTAGGCTGGCCTGAGTAGGTGGGATTGCAGGTGTGCACACCTGTAATTGATTGGGTAACACTGATTTTTGAATGTTAAACCAGTCTTGTGTTCTTGGGATAATTTTTACAGCTGAGATTCTCAGTTATGGTAGTGTGTGGTTTAACCTAATCAGGAGATAATAAAGCATGTTACACCAAAGTCAGCATCTTTTATTTGACTAACACCTTGGTTTGAGCATTTTGACCTCTGGAGACCAATGATTCTCAACTTTAGAATCAACAGCTAGGAGTATAGAGATTCCTGGGTAGCATTTAGTAAGTTTAGGGTGGTTCTGAGAACATGCATTACCAACAAGCTTACAAATGGTACTTTTAGCATTGCTCCTAAGTTAAATAATGCAAAAACAAATTCAAATCCTTACTAGAATAAGGGAGAGTCTTCTAATCATGAAGACATACTCATATGCACTTGGTGTTTAGGCAAATGCAAGCAGCTTGCTAAAGGTGCCACTGAGAAGTGGGTTTCTAAGCAAAGTTAATATGTGAGACTTATTTTTCACTCTAAAAATAGTTTTGTTTTTTTGTTTTTTGGCAGTACTCAGGTCCTGAGTTTGAACTTAGGGCCTCATGCTTGCTAGAAAAAAATAGTTTTTAAGCTGAGTGCTGTATACCAGTATTATGCATTCAAAAGATGAATAAATCTCTATTTCTCCAACTCTCAATTAAATAAAAATGCACACACCTTTTGACGCAGCAACTTCACTTCTAGCGATTTTATTCCACAGATATATTTAATCATATGCAAATAGAAAGGTTATTCAATGCAACTTTTGCCACAGCAAGAGTTTATAGGAAGTTAAAAGTGCATTAATTGTGAGCCGGTGAAATGAACTTCAGTGGAACCTTGGTATCCACAGGACTGTGACTCCAAGGAGACGGCCATGGAGGAAAACCTGAACATGCTCAGAATGCATGAACTCAGCACTGTACTAGGTGCTTGATTCATTTTTCCCACAATCCTGCCCAGCTTCCTCTAAAGACACGCTACTTTTTGGCCAATCTAAAATGATCACTTTATCACTTCAATTAAGCACATTCACTTTTATCTTGCTTTTGGGGCACTATTTTTGCCTTTTGGAAGGCAGGTTTTCACCAAATTAAGGGCAGAGAAACATTCAGCAGATCACCCAATGATTTAAACACAACTGACAATAACACGGGCTGACTGAGAGTTGCTCTGCATCAACTGAGCTGCGGAATGTGTGAATTAAGAATGTTTGATTTTTGCAGTTAACACACTTGGTCAAAACAACGTGTTAAAATTTGAGAACAAGGCAGACTTTCTGTATATATGTTGCTCAATGGAACAAAACTGTATAAGAAACTATATAAAAGAATATTACTAATGATACATTGTTCTGCTGAGGGGCTATTGAATAGCACAATAGTAAATGAAAAGGTGCAGAATTAGAATATTATTCTAATTTTACACAAGTAAGGGAGAAACATTTATATATTAGCCTGCATAGGCATAAATGATCCTGGAAAAACACAAAAGGATTCATATCATTTGTTACCTATGAGAAAGGAAATGGAATGGAAAGGGAATGGAATGGAAAGAATTTTTATGGTATTTTCTTTTGTGCATTTTGAATTGTGAATTGTGTGATTATTTTACTTAGTAAATATTTTTAAAAAAAACTTTATATTTTTCCATGTCAGGGGCAACAGAGTTAATTTTTTAGGTAGCTGAATGTCATTGCCTATATGGGTTTCCATATTTAACCATTTCTCTATTAATGAAAATTTAAATTTTTTTCAGATTTTTAATTGTTGTAAAATATTTTTGTAGTAAATATCCTTGAATATGTTTTCTGCACACATCTGCAAATATTTTTGGGCAAGAAATTCTTAGAATTATGACAAAATACATATATTTAATTTTGACTGCTGTAGCTATTTAAGCACTTAGTTCATTTCTTGTTATTGTTACTTGTTAACAGCTCATTTCATGTTAGGAAGTTTAGAGGCTTCTGATCTAGATTTTTGCTGCCTAAAACCCTTTTCCTTCCCCCCAGTTTTCAGTTCCTGAACTATTCTTTCTTGTGGAGACTATTTCATGTGTTCTGGGAGGAGCTAATTCTGCCTTTCCCAGTTTTGGAGATGATCATGTGACTCAGGTGGGCCAAAGTGTTCCATCCATGAAGCTGTAATGATTTGTTTGCATATGAGTGAACATGTGACCCAAATTGAGCCAATGGAAATCATTCCTAGTATATTTTACAGTCACAGTTGGGAAGATGGTTTGTTTTTCTCTGAGGCTGCAGAGAACCTGGAATTATCACTAGCCATTCTTGCTATCTGGGTCTGAGGCAACTCTTTAAAAAAAAAAAAAAAAGGTTGCTGATAGAGAGAGAGAGGGAGAGGATAGGTAGATTAGATAGATAGATAGATAGACAGACAGATAGATAGAACCTTAGAACCTTAGGTCTAAAATTGGACCTTAATTTGTAGTGTGGTATGAAACAGATAATTCCATTAAAAACAGTAATATGTTATATAAATGTGTATATACACACACACATATCAAAATAATTATCTCTGTGTTTTATTGGGTGGTGGCATTACATTATTAGGTTTAGTTGTATTTTTAAAAATATTTATATAGTAAGTATGTCTTAATGTTCATATTGAAAAGTACACTATATGTTACTTTATTTGTGCATCTCTAAGAGGTCTGTGAGATTCCAAGTTTCTACTGACCATATGGGATTGGATTCCAAGAATGTTTCTTACTTCTTCCCATTCTCTCTCTCTATTTGTTTCTCTGAAATCTCTCTAAGATATTCTGAAACCTCTAAGATATTTTGAAACCTATTATTTCTTATTTATTCTCTCTTTAAATATGGCATCACCCAGGTACTCAAGCTAAAACCTATTATTCTCTGAATAAATAAATATTTTTTACTCAAGAAATATTTCAGAGGCAATGGTGGGCATTAATAGGCTATAAGCCACTCAGTCTTCATTTTATTTTTATCTTGTTTTCTAATTATGGGTATATTACACTTGTAATGAACTAATTTGTTAAGGTGCTATATAAATATACCCTTCTGTATTACATATGTGATATGGTAGTTACTTATATTATAAATAATTTTTTTATCTTGCTAGGGAATACAGTGTATACTAAAGCTAATTTTGTCTATATCCACTTAAAATCAAGCTGAATTTTAAGGAAAAGAATGTTAAGTATTCTAATTTTTGAATTCAATAGTCAGAAAATATTATCTTGCCTCATCATTTTATCTTTGTTATTCAATTGTACACACAAACCTGACATAATTTACATTTTCTGACATTCTCTAATAATAAGATAACTGTGTAAATTTAAATTATTTCATTTTATTGAGTTTAATTAGCAATATTTTATATTTAAATTAACTGTACATTAAAAATATGCCACACATGAAACAATCCTGTGCCATCTAAAATTGCTATATCAAAATGTTTTATCTCCTTCCTCTTATCAAAATTAATTCTTTAAGTCTCAAGCTCACCCTAGGTATGTTTCTTTGCAATGTAATATTGTAAATTCTACTCTGTTTTCTTGTGCTATCCCTGAAGGTCATGCTAGCCTATGCAATCAGGCTAATGGCCGGTACCTCAGCTTTGTATGATGAAGGTCAAGGTAGCCATTGGAAATTTTATGAGTTTTCTTTCCTGTTTGTTTGATGCTGTTGGCTGCTGTTGTTTTTTTGAGACAGGGTCTCATTATGTAGTCCCAACTGACCTGGGCAGGCTTCCTGCCTCTGCCTCCTGATTGCTGGGATTGTAGATTGCAGCCATGTACCACTATGCCTGACTGTACCAGTTGCTTGGGAAATGAATATGAATTAAAACAACTAAAAACTAGTCTGGAATAAATCTTTTATTTCTGAAAGTAAAGTAACTGAGATGGTTGGCACCGGACAGACTTGCACAGGAATGGACAAAATAACATTGAGTAGTTGAGTGTGGAACATTGAAGCCATATGTAGTACCAACCTCAGAGACAACTTTGAAATGCTGTCTTGTCATTTAGTATGGATCCATGAAAGACCAGATGTAAGACACAATTCTTTCTGCAAAAGATTTGAGCACTTTTTTTCTATAGTCAACATGCTCTGAAAAACTTTCCAGATCTTCATTGAAATCAAAGGCCCTCACTGATCCTTCTTGAGGAATTATTCTGCAACAAATTCCTAACAATCACAAATTTTCATAAGGAGTTATGATTACAAAGAGAATCATATGAGAAGATTCTATGTCTTCTATTTAGTACCTGTTCTCAGAGATGAATTACTAATGCAGAAGCATTAATGGCTTTTCAGGTAGGATATATCACTGTATTTTCTGTCTTTTGTCCAGTCCATATTTAGAGATATTCTTCTAGGTGGCAAACCTTCAAAAATGAAAGTGCTTTCCTTCATTTTCATATAGCAGGGAGGAGAACAGACATGAAACATAATAGGAAGCTGTGATGCTCCAAAAATATCGCAGGATCGGATGATACGCAAACCTTCACCAAACATGGCACCATGACACCAATCACAGTTGGATGTGCTGATGTGGAAGAAACATCAAGTCAGTATTTAATAAGTGTCTACTAAAGTGAAAACACTGTGACTGATGCTATGTGAAACTCAAAGTTCTATAGAATATGACCTTGATCTCCATTGAGTTTATCATTTAGACGAGGCACTTACCATCAAGTGAAAAATGAAATGCTAACAGAGCGAAACAATAAGGTCAATATATGTATAATACAATTATGTTTTATAAAACAAAAGTATATGTATCTACTCTCTGTCCTGACTCTGTTCCCTTGGAGTTCTTTAAGCTCCATTTGTTATATACATGTGTGTGTGTATATGTGTGTGTATGTGTGTGTATATCTATATATGTACGTGTGTGTGTATTTTTCTCTGCTAAAAATTGTATATATATATTTAAAATAAAATTTGGTCCTTTTACCTATTTTAGGGGTATAGTTAATATTTTTGTGTAACCATCACCAACATCCATCTCAAATATGTTTTTATTTTCTCACACTGACACTCCATACCCATCACATCAAACCATTATTTTCCCAGCAGTATTTGTAATCCCTCCTTCTCCTTCTCTGGCCTCTTTTACTTACAACTCACTTGAGTCACACTTTTTTTTAATGCAGTACTGAAGCATCATGCTTGCTAGGCATATGCTCTACAGCTTGAGCCACACCTCCAGTCTTTTTTGCTCTGGCTATTTTGGACACAGGGTTTCACTTTTTGCTCAGGCTGGCCTGGACCTTGATCCTCCTATTTCATGCTTCCTTTAGTACTTGAATGGTAGGTGTGCACCACTATGCCCAGCTTTCTTTCACTGAGATGGCATCTTGCAAACTTTACTTGCCTGGAACCATGATCCTCCTGATCTCAGTCTCCTGCATAGCCTGGGATGATAGGTGCGTATCACTAGACCCAAGCTATTGGTTGAGATGGGGTCTTGTGAACTTTTTGCCCAAGCTGGCCTCAAACCACAGTCCTCTTATCTCAGCCTCCCAAGTAGGTAGGATTACAGGCATGAGTCACTGGCACCTGGCTCTTGAGTCACTTTTACATGAGAACCTGTCCTTGTGAAATTTCTAAATAGTGTATAAGTAAACAGAAATTCCTCCTTATTCTGCATTCAGCCAGTGTAACTCCCCTTTCCAGAATAACTAAAGCTCATGGTGTGGATTGTACCCTCCAGCTCCCAGACACATGACTATTTCTTAAGTGAATTAAACCTCTTTCATATGTGTGCTCCCTCACTTTGTACTATTTGCTCTTCTGATTTAACAAATGTCTTGAGCAACTTTCCATGTTGATATATTTTTGTTTGACTCCATTCTTATTAATAACATAATTATGTTCCATAGTATGGACATACTATAATTTCATTTACCGTTCTCTTTCTGGTGCACATTAAGCCTTCAATTATCATCCCTGTAACTAACTTTGCCTTCACATGACTCCCACCATTCTCAGTTCCTGCTTTCCAAGAGCATATTATGTCTTTTTCTTTTTTGTTCATGCCTTTTTACCTCCTATCACTATATTCACTATAATTCCCAGACATTTCTCTCCATGTGTATATCACCTGCTATTAATCTGTGCAACAAGTTAATGTCAATGATGGCATTTTTTAGTGTCTAGACTTTTGTTTCATTTAAAATTTCTTTTTCATATTTTCCTGGTCATATTGGTGATCTCTTATTCCTTAACTATTTTTAACTATATTTTAATTATTAAAACACTTAAAGTTATTTTGTACTAGTATCTTAGATTCTCAGAGATTCGTATCTGTTAATTGTTTTTGCTGACTTTTATTCTTGGTGGATTGTTTTCTCATGTTATTTGATTTCTTTGAATTATGGGACAATATTCATTTGAACTTAATTTTCTGGAATCTTTGCTGTCTAAATTGAGGATGTTTCTGGCAGGTGAATCCAAATCTTCTGTGCCCACATCTGTTTACCACCTAATCAATCCTTAAATTCTTATCACTTAATACTTTAAGGAATGTTTTTCCCTTGGAGACATTTTGTTTTACTTTGTCATGTGCAATAAAATTCCATGAGCATCGATACCACAATATATTGATACTGAAAACTTCTGGGCCTGATTTGGTTTTTTTGGTGGATCTTTCATCACTTTTCCCAGTTTCTCCAATGGTTATTAGTTTGTTCTGGTTGTCTGCTGTGTTAGTCAGCTTCCTATCACTATTATGAATACTTGAGACAATCAACTTATAAAGAGAAAGGTTTATTTGGACTTGAAGTTTGGGAGATTCCAGTCCATGATTGACTGGCCCTATTGTTTTGGCCTGTGGTGAGGCAGCACACCACGGTAGGAGTGGGTGGCAGAGCAAAGCCACTTACTCATGGCCAAGAAGCCAAAGAGAAAGAGGAAGGGACTGGAATTCTACAATCCTCTTCAAGGGCATGCCCCCAAGACCTAAAGACCACTTACTAGGCCCCACCTCTTAATGGTTCCACCTCCTATCCAACAGCACTACCCAGGAGACCAAGGCTTTAACATATGACTTGAGCTTTTGGGGGACATTCAAGATCCACAATATAGCATCTGTCTTTTATTGAATCAATACTGATAATTTATATGCTCCTGGGAAAACATTTTACATAGGCATACAACAAATATTTGTTAAATCAATAGTCTGAGCACTGATGATGGATATGTAAGGAAAAATGGTTTCATACCATCTGAAGGAAATAAGAGACAGATGTGAGTGGACTGTAAGTAAGTGGAGTTTAAGACCTCTATCAGTAATGACTCCCAATCTGGTCATCCATTCATGATGGGGAGAAGTTGCCCTATGTATGTCTGCTCTGTTCCTGATCTCTATCAAGTTAGAATGCAATAAAACATTTTCCCCTAGAAATAAACAATTTAAAAAAAAAACACTTCTGGGTCCTTATAATTCATAAAAAGACTTATGAAAGATTTTAAATACATTTTTAAATACTCAAAAGTGTGCTTTGGTTAAAAGCACCTTAGAATTTACTCACCTTTTTAGTAACTTTTGAATTTTTGCTGAGATTACATCGTAAAATCGACATAGGTTATTCTTGATAATGAACAAAGCAATAATGTGAGTAAGTTGTAGAGGACTATTCAAAGAATTCTCTGCCCAAAGAGTATGATGAGTATAAGTATTCTCTAAGTGAATTTTTGTCAAGTTAAGCCTTAAAATTGCAGGTGGTAAAGAAGTCATGTAATTCCCATCAATAGTCAGTTTGTCAAGTGATCTGTAAATAAAGGAAACCACATTTTAAAAGATATCAACCTAATTTATAATATTGAAGTAAAATTCTGCTCCAGGGTTCTTGAAAATTGGTATCAAACTTAGTTGCAATAAAACATGTATTTCAATATTTCCTTAGAATAAAGAGAATTTACTTATAAAACAACTGAACCAATATATTATAATGTAAATAAGAGCATTTGTGCGAGTAGCATAGTCAAAATCCACAAACACAGAGAGATAAATGAATATAGTATGGTATGATGATATACAGAAAAATGTTTTCATAGACAAATTGAACACAAATATACAGTTTTTCATTCAAGCCTAATAAAAACAGTACAATTTTATCTGATCAAAATGTCTTATGCATTATTTTATACTTTGACTTTTAACACCCGGGTCCATTTAGTTTCTATTGTGTCAATTGCTTCTTATAATCCTTGCTCCTGTATTTAAAAAGAAGCATGTCTGATTTTCTCATTTTCACTTGTCTCAGTATTGTTTTCTTTAGTCACTTATCTTCTTTCTAATTAGTGCTATAAGCAGACAGACAAGTGTCTGTTCATGAAGGACATATAAAAATCAAATCGAAGACAACTTGTCAAACACATTATAGTTGGCCAGGCTGATACATGGACTTTAGTAGAGAGCAGCAGGGGCCTCTGACCTCTCCTGGACGGTCTAATCTCAGATCTCAGAGCCCCACAATTATGTTCTATAATTGTGACTTGCTAACAATACTAAAATACGAATAAATGGGGTATTTAAAAACAATGAGGCTAGGAGGAGGTCACTGGGCCTGGATTATTCAATCACAGTGGGACTACTGGACCTTTCGTGGTCATGTAAATGTAAGCATGACATCAGGCTCTATTTGGAGAGAACTGGCATCTTCCTGTGTTTGTGGATTTTGACTGAGCTTTGACCACAGGTGAGTTTGGAGGGAAAGTGAGAAAAGGAAAGTAATCTAAGTCTCAAGTTTTGGTGGAGGTAGCAGTGGGGAAGCAGACCATCATGGTGGGGTGTGGTATACAATATTAAGGAAATATGTGTTTGATTATGAATTTTGGAAAAAGAAAGATGGCCAGGAACAGATTAAGAAAACATTATAAAACTCCAAAGTTAACCAGGGAGGGAAAAAGAGAACAAATAGGAAATACTATTCTGAGCAAAAAAAGAAAAAAGGCAAAAAAAGAAAAAGAAAAGAATAGCAAATACAAGGTAAAATGGAAAGCAGAAATTAAATATGTCATTCATAATAAATATGAATTGGATAAATTCCATTAAAATATAAAGATGTCACATGAGAAATCAAGTAATTGATATAAATATTAAAAAATCATTTTGCTGAAGATAAGATTATGTCCTTAGAAAATCAATCAGCTCAAGCAAAGAAAACTCAGAAAGAATTAATAAGAGAATTTGATTACATGATATTAAATTATATTAAAGAAATATACAGCCTTTCCCTATTATGCACTGGCAATAATCAGCTAAAGTTGGAAATAAGAGCAGAGTGTGATGGTGCATACCTGTAATTCCAGCTATGTGAGATGCAGAGATAGGAGGTTCATGGTTTGAAGTCAGCCAGGAAAAAAATGTTAGTGAGACACTATTCTAAAAACAGGTCAGGAATGCCTGTAATTCTAGTTATACAAGAGGAAGGGATAGGAAGATCTTGGTCTGAGGCTGCCCCCATGCAAAAAAGACCCCAGCTGAAAGATAACTAAGGTAAAAATGGTGTAGCTTAAGTATTAAGCATCTGCATAGCAAATGCAAGTCCCTGAGTTCAAATCCTAATACCACCAAAATAGATAATTTAAGCAGAAATAGCAGTTGTTCTTAGCAGCTGCACAATTATAAAACACTTAGGAAAGGTATTTAAGAAATAAGAAGCTGGGTACAATGGCTCACACTTGTAATCACAGCTACTTGGGAAGTGGAGATGGGGAGGATCACCATTTGAGGCCAGCCTAGGCAAAAAATAAGACCCCATCTCAACAAATAGCTAGACACAGTGGGATACACCTGTAATAACAGGTATTCAGGAAGTGTAAATAGGAGGATCGAGGTCCAGGCTGGTCCAGGCATAAACACAAGACCTTATTCTAAAATAAGCAACCATAAAAAGGCCTGAGGTGGCTCAAGTAGCTGAGTGCCTGCCTAGTAAGCACAGGCCCTGAGTTCAAGCCCCACTACCATAAAAATAGAAAGAAGAGAAATGTTTCTAATAGGAACACAATTACAAAACGCTTAGAAAGGTTGTTGAAACAGGAATGAAGTGAGTCACAAATTTTTATGAAGAACATAAAATAAGATCTGAAAAAATTAAAAATACAAAATACATTTTAGAATGGAAAAATTTATTATATTAAAAATATAAATTCTTCAAAATTTTGTTAAATGACAATTACAACTAAAATGTCAAGTTTGTACTTATTTAAAATTTTAAAATCATTTAAAATTTGATGTAGGCGAGCCCATATCAAACACTATGAGAGAGCCACTGACAGGCTCAGAGGGCCAGAGATACGAGGTAAACACCTACTACACAGATGGAGCATGGCTTCTCCTCACCAAGTGAGAAGTATTAATGCTTTAAATTTTCATTTTAAAATGTTTCAGTTTTTAAAATTTTCATTCTTTTCTATTCTTCCTTCTTGACTATATTGGCTTTGCACTAATTATACTGTGTTGTCAAACACTATTATTTGATACACTTTCGTCCATATGCTTCCCCCCACCCAACTTCCTACTTCCTTTTTCCTTCCCTCACTTTCCACTCATTTTACTACCTAATTATTAACTGGTATATTTTCAATAATTTGCAAAGTAATGTTCCCTAGAACACTAGTCCTATAGGTAAAATCTTGCTGGAGTGTAGATTATGTTTCACTTTCTTTAAATATCTGATTTGGGTTTTAGTTGGTGATCTTCTCATTGTTGAGCTGTACCTCCAAGTAAACTGTGAGAAATGGCACATCAAACCAGACACTATTCAGTCCTCCCTAATATTGAGAATACCTAAGCTAGAAGACTACAGGCAATTAGAAGTTCCAACCAATGACTTATACTAAGATGTGCAAATATCAATGAGAGATGCAAGAAATATGAAAAAAACTCAACAATTTGACAGTAATAAATACTGATAGTGTAGCAAATGAAATCTCAAAGAATTAAAAAATATGATTACAAGAAAGATAAATGGGATTAAATAGGGCATGAGTAAATACCTGAATGAAATCCAGGAGAACTCAAATAAAGAGCTAGATGTAACAAACAAGACAATTCAGTCATAAAAAAGAAATTTAACAAGATGTAGAATTTATGAAAAAATAAAACTGAAATTCTGGAAAGGAATAGCTCAATAAGTCAAAAACCTGAGTTAAAGCTCACAAACAGACTGGATTTAGTTGAAGACAGAATATCAGGACTTGAAGACAGGCATATGTATTAGAACACTCAGATGAAGATGAAGAAAAAAATAAAGATATACAAATGGAACAGCATTAACAGACCAAGAACTAAGAATCTAGAGATATAGAAGAATGTAACTAAAGGCATATAAACCATATTCAATAAAGTAAGAGCAGAAAAATCCCAAAATTGAGAAAGATGATCATCCAGATACAGGAGGCTTTTAAATCTCCAAACAGACAAGAGCAGACATCATATTATTTAAAAACATTATGCACACAAAACAAGAAAAGAATATTGTACACCACAAGAGAAAAGTGCCAGTCACCTAAAAAGGCAACTCCATCAAAATAACAGTAGATTTCTCAACAGAAACTTTAAAAGAAGGAGGGCATGGAATGATTCTCCTACCAGGCACACCTACAATTCTAGGAGGATTGCAGTTTGAGGCTTGCCCCAGCAAATAGTGTGTGAGACACTATTTCAAAAATACCCAACACAAAAAAGGGCTGGTGGAGTGGCTCAAGTGGTAGAGCACCTACTTAGCAAGCGTGAGACTGATTTCAAACCCAAGTACCACAAAAAAGAAAGAAAATAACTCTCAACCTAGATTATTCTATTCAGCAAAGCTATCTTTCATAATTGAAACAGATTAAAATATCCCATGATAAACAAAAACTAAAGGAATTCATTTCTACAAAACCAGTGCTGCAGAAGATACTTAAAGGAATGTTATGGACAGGGAAAGAAAATAAATACAATCATGAAAATGGGGAAAAAATAAATCTTACTAGATGAATACACAGAAAATTAGGAGTAGGAAGATCAAAAACAACTCTAAACACAACAAAATGGCAGAAATCACCACATAACTTTTAATAAAAAGTCTGAATGCCAATGGTCTCAATTCTCCAATGAAAACACACAGATTAGATTAAAAAACAAGATCCAACCATTTGTTGCCTACAAGAAATGCACCTCGATGGCAAAGATAAACACAAGGTTAAAGTGAAAGAATGGAAAAAGATTTTCCAAGCAAATGGAGCCAGAAATCAAGCAGGAGTAGCTCTACTCATATCTAACAAAGCAGATTTCAAACCAAAATTAGTCAGAAGAGACAAAGAAGGTCACATTATATCAATAAAGGGAATAATCTATCAGGAGGATGTAATAATTAGAAACAAATATCAGTACATGAAATTTCATAAAGCAAACACTACTAGATATAAAAACAAGCTAGACCTCAGCATAATAGTGGGTGCTTTTAATATGCAACTTTTACTAATAGAACATCCAGACAAAAAGCCCACAAGGAAGCTTCAGAATTAAATGGCATAAAAAATCAAATAGACTTAAAAGACATCTACAGAATATTCCACCCAACAGCCACAGGATACACATTCTTCTCAGCAGCCCATAGAGCTTTCTCCCAAATAGATCACAAAGCAAGAAAATTAAAATAATTTCTTGTATCTTATCAGACCACAATAGAGTAAAATTAGAAATCAGTAACAAAGAAAACAACAGGAAATACCCAAACATATGGAGACTGGACAAATTACTCTTGAATGATCAGTGGGTCATCAAGGAAATAAGGGTGAAGGATAAAAAAAGTTCTAGAATCAAATGAAAATGAAAACACAACCTATCAGAACCTTTGGGACAGAACAAGCAGTGCTAAGAGGAATGTTTTAGCTATGTGTGGCTACATTAAAATATGAGACAGATCTCAAATAAAAAATCTAACAATGTACCTCAAGATATTAGAAAAACAATAATAAGACAAACCAGAAGAGGTAGATGGAAGGAAATAATAAAGATCAGGGCAGAAATTAACAAAATGAAGATCAAAAGAATAATACAAAGAGTCGATGAAACACAAAATTGGCAAATCCTTAGCCAAACTAACCAAGAGAAAGAGAGTTAGGACTCAAATTAATATAACTAAAGATGAGAAAGGGAACATCACAACAAATGTTGATGAAATAAAGGGAATCATTAGGGAACTCACTGAAAACTCACATTCTGGTGAACTGGAAGAAATAATAAATTTTTAAGTGCATATGACCTACCAAAATTGAAACAAGAGACTATAGACTACTTAAACAAATCTATAACAAGTAACGTAATTAAACAGTAATAACCTGGCTCCCAACAAAGAAAAGCTCAGCACAGGACAGATTCATTGCTAAATTCTACCAGACCTTTAAAATAGAACTAACACTAATGCTCTTTAAATTGTTCCATAATACATAAACAGGAGGAATACTACCAAACTCATTCTATGAAATCAGTGTAACCCTGATACTAAAACTATATAAGGATATAGCAACAAAAAAGCAACAATTCTCAATTAAATATTTTTAAACTGAATTCAACAACAAATTAAAAATTATATGCCATATCAACTTGGTTTCATTCCAGGGATGCAAGGATGGTCCAACATATGCAAATCAATAAACATGATATAGCACATAAACACAATAAAGGGAAAAAAATCACGTAATCATCTCAATGGATGCTGAACAAACCTTTGACAAAAGTCAACATCTCTTCATGATATAAAAGCCCTGAAGTAACCAGGAATAGAAAAAGCATATATCAACATAGAAAAGCTGTATATGATAAACCCATAGCCATATTGCACTAAATGCGGGAAAAGGAAAACCATTCTCTCTAAAGTCAGGAGTGAAACAAGGTTATCCACTTCCCCCACTCTTATTCAATCCTTAGCCAGTACAATAGAGAAGAGAAAGAAATGGAACTGATACAGATAGGAAAAAACTCTTATGCCCAAAAAGCACTTTCAGCAAAGTAGCAGGATACAAAATTGAGATATAAAAGCAGTTGGCTTTTCTATATACTAATAGGGAACAGACTGAGAAAAAAAAATCAAGGAAACAATCACATTCACAATGACCTAAAAAAATTGAATAGCTAGGAATAAACTTACTAAGAAAGTGAAAGACCTCTACAATGAAAACTATAAAACGTTTAGGAAGAAAATTCAAGAAGACACAAGGAGAGTTGTGGAAGTCCCATGAAGGGGTGTACTTCTTTAAGGTACACTGTACACATGTAGGGAATAATCATAATGAAATCCCCTTATATTATTGATGTATGATAATTACAAATAAAATTAAATATTATACAAAAATAAAGCCCTATCACGTTCATAGACTGGCAGAATTGATACTGTGGAAAATGGCTATACTACTGAAAGTAATCTTCAGATTCACTTAATCTCCATAAAAATTCAAATGTTTCTTTCTCACAAAAATAGAAAAGTCAATCCTAAAATTCACATGGAAACACAAAAGACCCTGAATAGCCAAAGCAATCCTGAGAAAAAGAACAATGATAGAGTTATCATAATAATGGACCTCAAATTATACTACATAGACAAATTCACAAAAACAGCATGGCACTGGCACAGAACAGACACAGAGACCAATGGAATAGAATGTAAGATCCAGAAATAAACCCACACAGCTATCCATCTGATTTTTGACAAAGGCACCAAAAGTATGCATTGAAGAAATGATAGCCTCTTCACCAAATGGTGTTGGGAAATCTGGGTATCTACATGTAGAAGAATGAAGCTACACCCCTGTTTCACACTCTATGCAAAAATTAGTTTAAGATGAATCAAACATATTAATGTAAGGAATGAAACTTTGAAACTACTAGAAGAAAACCTAGCAAAGTCCTTGAAGATTTAGGCATAGGTATACCTCTCTGAATGGGACTCCAATTGCTCAGGAAATAACAGCAAGAATTGAGAAATGGGATTGCATCAAATTTCATATCCTTCTGCAAAGAAAAGGAAACAGATAGCAGAATTAAGAGACAACCTACAGAATGGGAGAAAATCTTTGTCAGTTGTTCATTGGATAAAGGATTAATATTCAGAATATGTAAAGAGCTCCAAAAATTAAACACCAAAGAACAAACTACCCAGTTCATAAATGGGTAAACTAATTGAACAGATAGTGACCATAAGAAGTATAAACGGCCAGTAAATACACGGAGAAATGCTCAAGATCCTTAGTCATAAAGGAAATGCAATCACTCAAACCTAAACTGAGATCTCATCTCAACCTAGTCAGAATGCCAACCATCAAGAAAACAAACAGAAAATGCTGGCAAGGATTCCACTGTTGGTGGAATGTAAATTGCTGCAGCCACTATGGGAATCAGTATGGAGGTTCCTTAAAAACCTACCATATGATCCTGCTATATCTTTCTTGGGCATGTATTGAAAAGGATGTAAGTTGGCATACAATAAAGATACTGCATACCCATGTTCATATCAACACTATTCGCAATAGCACAACTATGGAATCAATCTATGTGCCTATCAACCAATGAATGGATCAAGCAAATGGGGCATAATATACACAATGGAGCACTATTCAGCTATGAAGTAGAATTAAATTATGCCATTTACAGAAAAATGAGTTGAACTAGAGAGCATCATAATAAGCCTGACTGAGAAAGACAGCTATCATATGCTTTATCTCATATGTGGAAAATAAAACCCAAAGTAAAATGATTGTTTTAAGAGTAAAATGGGGTCTGTTTGGGGGAGTGGGAACCATCAGGAGGGAGGAGGGCTAAAAGAGAGGGTGAAGGGATAAATATAACATCAGTTACTTCAACCACATGTATGAAAACAGAATAATGAAATCCATAAAAAATTTTTAAAGGGGGGAGGTACAATAAAGAGTAATAGAGTGGTGAATTTTATCATATACATGCATGGAAATATCACAATGAAACCCCTTTGTACAATTAATATATGCTAATAAAAATAAAGAGAACACTCAAGAGATTGTTATTGAAAAATATCCTCCCTAGTAGTTACTATTCTAAAATCATAGCCAAAACAGCATGGTGTTGACATAGAAAGACTCAGATGACTGTCAGCCATTTTTATTAATGTGATAAAGGATTAGAGTTTAGCACTATAATTACATTGTGTATTTTGAGAAATTTATATATGTATATGCTTACTTATTCAAAAAAATTCTAACTAAATGGATGGGAGCCATAAGTACCCACACAGAAAAATGGACAAAAGTATCTTGTTATTCTATTAAACAGTCATAATATTGTCATTCAAATAATTATTGACGATATTAGATCTTAAAAACACTGTACACAAATCATTCAAATTACATTTTTATAGGCTGATAGAGTGGTTCAAGTGGTAGAGTGCTTGCCTAGCAAGTGTAAGGCCCTGAGTTCAAACTCCCGTACTAAAAAAAGTTACATTTTTATAAACTTCTCACACTTCACTTGTTATAGTTTATGGCTATTAAATGAATAAATAACTCAATGTTTTTCATCACTATCATTTCCAATTATCCCTAATGGGACATACAACTTTCTGTGTACTTATTACTTCAAAAAATACCTGAGTTTCTGGATTTCACTGGGAATAGAAGTAATTTCATTGTAGGAAATATCAAGTTCCTCAAGACTGGACAAGGAAAATAACCTTAGATAGAAAGAAAATTCATTGTAAAAAATATTGTTTTGTCACTGGGAATAAGAAAGAATTATATAATTAAGTAAACTGTTTACAGTATAGAGAAACCAAACTTTTCTAAGGTCTTGAAATTTGTATAGAGTTCTTTTCTTTATGGATGGTACAAATATCATGAAGATCACTAAGAATGATTCTTCTAGCCATTACACTAGCTTGAGATGTTTGAGGTAGTTAAAAGACACCTGAGAAAATTTTAACATAATTTAAACATAGTTTTTCTTAGTTGCTCTATTAGTTTCCTAGGGCTGACAACCATTTTCCAGGTGGCTTAAAATAAGAGAAATTCTTTACAGACTACAGAAGATCAGAAGTCTAAGATTAAGGTGTTAGCTGGGTTGGTTCCTTCTGGAGGTTCTGAGGAGGAAACCATCCCTGGGTCTCTCTTAGCTTCTTCTGGTTGCCTGCAATATTTGATATTTCTTGACTTGTTTCAGCACAACTCCAACCTCTGCCTTTGTCTTTATATATCCTTTTAACAAGGACACCAGTCACTGGATTTACAGCCCACTTCAATTCAGTATAACCTCGTATTAATTTAACTAATTACATGTGCAAAATCCCTATTTCCAAATAAAGTCACATTCTGAGATTTGTATGGACATGGATTTTTCAGGGACACTATGCCAATTGCACTAAGAGTTTCTTTGTGAGAGGGATTAGAAGTATCCACTGTTTTGACTCCATCAAAGAGAAGGGTCTGGTAACATAAGAGAGACAATATTCTGAAAGAGAAAGAGAAGGGCATCAGGAATCATGAAAGAGGTAGGAGAATAGCATAAAAGCACTGAGAAACAGGCAACAGAGAAAAGCAGCAAAGATCCCAAGCCCTTACCCAGCTCCCCAGGAGGGGAAGGGGAATCTGAAGACACAATCACAAGGTAAGCCAGACAGCCTTGGCAACAGACTGGCAAACCTTGCTGCAAGATAAGTCCACATATCCTGCAAGCCTTACATGCAGTGTGGAGATTTGGTGAGTCTGACTTCAGTGTAGAAAGCTAGCCTTGGTGAAGAAAGACATTCTGTTGCTCCATTCATCTCTGAGTGCTGAAGAAAGATGCCATCTCGAGAGAGGGTCTATTGTTTGAGACTGAGATACTCCGGGGGCTTGAAGATAAGAAGCAATCATGGCTCAGGGAGTCTTGGAGCACCCTGCCACACTGTCTGGGTAGCAGATGGCCATGAGAGGTGATCATAGAGAGGAAGAGGGTATGATGTGGTCCTACAGCAAAGTTCAACCAGTTGGGAGCTGCAGCAGTAAAGGGCACAGTAGTTACAGTCCCCTCCCCCTCCCTGGCAAAGAGCAAGTCCCATATCCTAAGGGTCATGGAAGAAACAAAGCACCTAGCCTGTGACTGGCTTAGTACAGCCTCCAAAGCCTATGTCCTGACTGCATGTGTTGGCTACTAGGTGGGTCTGAGGGCCCTGAGCCCAGACCCCCCCCTTGAATTACGTGATATCCACAGTCTCTTTCTACCCATAGGGAGGTGAACTTCTGGGCAGAGCCTGAAAGTAGCAAGGCACACCTTGAAGAACTGCATCACAGTGTGTATTTGCTGCCAGGCAGGTCTGAATGCCTGAAGTACAGGCCTTCCAAACCATATGATTTTCAGAGCCTCCTCTCTTCCCACAGGGAGGTGAAATGCTAGGCAGGGTCTGAAAGTTCTGAGTTTTGGTTCTGAGAACTTCATCCTAGTTTGTGTTTGCTGTCAGGCAGGTATGAGAATCCCAAACCCAGGCCTTCCAAATTACATGATTTCCATAGTCTCCCTCCCCTCCAATCCCCAGCAAGGCAAACTACTATGCAGATTCTGAAAGCACTGAGTCCTACCTCTGGGAACTTCATCCCTGCATGTTTGCTCTAGGTGGGTCTAAGAGCACTGAATCCAGTCATATGACTTCTATATTCTCTTCCCTGCAATGGGAGGTGAAGTACTTGGTGGGGCCTGAAAGTAATGAGACTTTCACAAGTTCTATGTCTAGAACTTGTGTGCCTAGGTCCCTAAGGGCTCCCCTAGACTTCAGAACTCAATGCTGTGTTTGCTCCCCCCACAAATTTGTGATGCATTTGGGGATCACTCTTACACTTGAACACTTGTTACCCCTGGGACACAAACAAGGAATCTTGAAGAGCAAGTGGGAACCTGCCTGACCCACGTGCTGCTGTAAACATCCCTGTTACCATCAGTGTCTTCGCAGAAGGAAAACTGCTATAGGGAAAGCAGGTCAAAAGCAGACAACCAACCCCTTCTGTAAGAGACTCCAGCTAGTTTTTCTTGATCTGGGCAGTGCTGAGGATCAGGTCTGGGTATCCTGAGTATGTGGGCTAATGCATGGTTACTGGGCCATCCCCCAATCCAGTGGTGAAAAATAGCACCTCAACCCAGGCACTACACAGTCCTGCCTGAACACAAAGACTACTTCACGGAAAGACTGCAGGTTATTAAAACCTTCAACCAATGACTTATCCTCAGATGCAGAAATCCCAATTCAGGAACACAAGAAATACGTAAAACAATGCAATATTGCTCCTCCAAAACTAAAAAATCTCCACAGTAATAAATTCTAATGATAGTGAAATGTATGAAATTTCAGACAAAGAATTCAAAAATATTGTAAGAATGACCAATAAAATTAAAGAGGACATGAATAAATGCCAGGATGAGTACAAAGAACACTAAAGTGCTGAATATAACACAGAAGGCATTGCAGGTCATGAAAGAGACATTGAACAAGACATAGAACTTGTGAAAAAAATCAAACTGAACTTCTGGAAATGAAAAGCTCAATAAGTCAAATTACAAAAAAAATCAGTTGGAAGTTCACAGATTGGATCTAGTTTAAGACAGAATATCAGGGCTTAAAGACAAGGTATATGTATTAGAACATTCAAATGAAGATGAAGGAAAACATAAAGAAGTATGAATGGAAGACCTCTGGAACAGTATTAAGAGACCAAGAACTAAGAATCATTGGCATAGAAGCAGGAGAAGAGATGCAAGCTAAAGACACAGAAAACATATTCAATAGCAGAAATCTTGAGAACGAGATGGTCATCTAGGTACAGGAGGTTTTTAGGACTCCAAACAGACTAAACCAGAAAAGGACAACTACAAAGCAAATTACCATTGAAACATTTGGCTTAAGAACAAACAAAGAATATTGAAAGCCACAGAGAGAAGGTCCAAGTCACCTATAAAGGCAAACCCTTCAGAATAACAGCAGATTTTTCAATAGAAACTTTTTTGAAAAAGAGGGTGTGGAATGATATATTTCTAGTCCTAGAGAAAATAGTTGCTAATCTAGAATGCTGTATCCAGTGAATCTGTCCTTCATAATTGAAGGAGAAATACAAGTCTTCTATGATAAGCAAAACTAAAGGAATTCATGATCACAAAACTAGCACTGCAGAAGATACTTAAAGGAATGTTACACACAAAAGAAGATAAATACACTCATAAAATTGTGAGAAAGAATAAATCTCACTAGACAAGTAGATAAGCAAACAAGGAGTAAGGAAGAATCAAACACTACAAAACCCGTGAAATGGGAGGGATTATTACATACCTTTAAATTATAACTCTGAATTCTAATGGCCTCATTTTTATAAACAAAAGACATATATTGGCAGTTTGGGTTAAAAAACATTGTCCATAAGAAATGTGCCTTGCTGGCAAAGACAAACCCAGGCTTATAGTAAAAGGGTGGAAAAATATTTTCTAAGCAAATGGAGTCAAAAATTAAGCAAGAGTAGCTATACTCATATCTGACAAAAAAGACTTCAAGTGAAAATTAGAAGAGACAAAAAAGCTTGCTTTTATAAATGGAATGATCCATCGGGAGGATACAGCAATTGCAAACGTATGCACCAAAACATCAGCATACCCAATTTCATAAAACAAACAGTACTGGACATAAAAACACAGATGGAACTCAGCACAATAATGGTGGGTGCTTTTAATACCCAATGTTCACCAATAAACAGGTCATCCAGGCAAAAAATTTCAACAAGAAGTCTTAGGAATTAAATGACACTATAGATCAAATGGAAAAAACTGACATATACAGAATATTCTACCAAACTGCTACAGGATACACATTCTTCTCAGCAGCCCATGGAACTTTCTTCCAAATAGATCATATGTTAGAACATAAAGAGATCCTAAACAAATACAAGAAATTTGAAAAAGTTTCCTGTATTTTATTAAACCATAAGGAATAAAGCTAGAAATCAAGAACCAGAGAAACAACAGAAGATATCCAAACACATGGAGTCTAATCAATTCACTTTTGAATGATCAGTTGTTCATTAAAGAAATAAGGGGGTTGGGCTGCAGGCATGGATCAAGTGGTAGAGCACCTGCTTTGCAAGCAGGAAGTCCTGAGTTTGGAATGAGAGGAGGGAGGATAAAGGAGAATGATGGTGGGGATAAAGTCAACTATGATATATTGTAAGAAATTTTGTAAATGTCACAATGTATCCCCAGCACAGCAATAATAATAAAAAAAAAGGAAGTCCTGAATTCAAACCCAAGTCCCACTAGAAAGAGAGAGAGAGAAGAAATAAAGAAGGGGGGAGGGGAATTAAAAAATTCCTAGACTCAAATGAAAATGAAAACACAACTTATCATAATTATTGGGACAGAGCAAAAGCAATGCTAAGAGGAAAGTTTATAGCTATGAGTGCCAAAATTAAAAAATCAGAGAGATCCTAAATAAACAATCTAGCAAGGCACCCAAGATCTTAGGAAAACAATAATAACATAAACATGAAAGCAGTAAATGGAAAGAAATAATAATGATAAGGATAGAAATTAATAAAATGAAGAATAAAAGAATGATACATAGTGTCAATGAAACTGAGTTGATTATTTGAAAAGATAAACAAGCTTGACAAACCCTTAGCTAAGTTAACCAAAAGAAATAGGGAGAACATTCAAGTTAACAAAATT